CTTCAACCGTAAGCCCGAAAACAAGGAAGACAGACCCAAGACCCCTAAACCCTAATCCCTAAATCCCCCAAGACCCTATAAACCCCCAACTTCCAAGATCCTGTAGGTACCCTAAACCCCGAAGACCCCGATTCCCTAAACCCCCAAGACCCCACAGACCCTAAACCGTCAAGAACCTATACACCCTAAACCCTAAAGCCCAATCCTAAACCCTAAAACCCTCAACCCTATACCCTGAACCCTGAACCCTAAACCCTCAACCCGAAACCCTAAACCCTAAAGCCCAATCCTATCCCCTAAAGACTTCAAGTCAGTCCGAGGCCCGCATGGGCTCGGCGGAAGGGCGCTGACCGCACCCGGTCGAGGTTGGGGGTGCCCTCTTCTTGTTGGCCCGGTTTGGGGTTTAGGGTTTGGGGTTTGGGGTTTAGGGTTTAGGGTTTCGGGTTTCGGTTTTAGGGTTTAGGGCTTAGAGTTTAGGGTTTAGGGTACCAAAAGCTTTGGCTTAGGGCATGTAGGGCATGGGGCTTAGGCTTTGTGGGCATAGCGTAGAATGTCGACCTAGGCCCGCTAACCCCCCATCGTATGGGCTAGAAGGCCACTAGCAGCCCTAAGACCCTGAATTCTTAAATCCTGGGGTAGAACGAACCTTAGATCATCTCCATGTCCTAGAAGTGTCTTAAACCCTAAGCACGAGATAAGTACAGTTATCATTGGTTAGTAAATACCATGAACCTCCAAGTGGGGACTAAACCCGACAATTGTGATCATCTTTCTGAGGTTGGAACATGGGCCCTTGCGGTCGCTTACCCTTGTTTATAGGGATCCGAAGTACGGGACCCGCTTCTGTATAGTGTATATTATGAGGGTTGTACAACAATGGATTCAAATTCAAGGCCCATACCCATACTTGGAACCTTAGAACCTTTGCATGCTGTGCCGTGGCTCTCCGCCCGCAGTGAAATGCGCAGTGGTTGGTGGGTTTAGGGTTCAGGGTTTGAGGTACGGCAGTTTTAATGGCCCTTGCATCGTTTATGACGCGGATCCCGGTATGACGCTGCTATTTCCGGGCGTTCCGCTCCAGTGCTTCAAGAAGCCTTGGTAGGTTAGGGTTTAGAGTTTAGGGTTTCGGGTTTGGGGTTTAGGGTTTAGGGTTTCGGGTTTAGGGTAGGTTAGGTGTGCTTAAGGGTCATCCTCTATCTCCTCCTTCAAGGTACCAGAAACACACCAAAGATTTGATACTGGCACCCTAAACCCAATTACACCCTAAACCCAAATTAGACCCTAAACTCCAAACCCCAAACCCTGAACCCTAAACCTCAAACTTCAAACCCTAAACCCTAAACCCTAAACCCTAAACCCTAAACCCTAAACCCTAAACCTCAAACCCTCTGGGCCCAGTGCAGGGTGAACCCTGCGGAAGGAACGGTGGGAACAATCGCGCTGTCGGCCTGGCCTGCGCAACTTGTCTCTGCTGACCCACTGGATCCATGTACCTCAGAATTACCCTAGACCCTGAACCCTAAACCCTAAACCCTAAACCCTAAACCCCAAACCCCAAACCCTAAACCCTAAACCCTAAACCCTAAACCCTAAACCCTAAACCCTAAACCCTAAACCCTAAACCCAGGCTTGGGCTTTAAATTTCAAGGGTAGGTATATACAAAGCTACATAGGCCGTCATAGACCCTTGCCCTAAGGGTACATTGAATTACATGTGCCCATACAGGGTTTAGGGTTTAGGGTTTAGGGTTTAGGGTTTAGGGACATGTGCCCATACAGTATATACTTGGGCCTTAAGGAGGTTCCAGTTTGTCGCCTTAGGGGGGCTCAAGTATCTATAAAAAAGGTACATGGACCCTTAGGGTTAGGGAGCAGGGCCGGCTGCCAGTTTCTCTACGGTCCACTTTTGGGGACCCTGAAATAGAAGGCTCCGTGTTCCCAAGGCCCGAACCCTAAAAACCAAATTTTTTTGTTTAATGCGTTTTGCTTGTATGAGGCCGCCTGGAGCTGTCTCTTGGTTTTCTCAGGCATTGGCTGTCCAAAAGTTTTCAGTTCTCAATTTCCAGGCATGTTCGTGTGATGTGGTACTGTCGTGAAACCCGGCTTGTTGAAGCTGATGGTCCGGTTTAGGATTTAGGATTTGGCTTGGGATGTTCCCCCTTATGATATCAAGAGCCCTTAGTCGGGATTATAGTACCCTTCTTCGAATCCCTTTTAAGGACTGCTCCCAAGATTTAGCCCTTGAAGCTGGAGTATCTTGAGTCCTTTGCCTAGGCAGCAAGAGTCCATACTTGGCTCTTGGTCCGCCCACGTCATCAACCTGGAGCGTAGACCGGATCGACTGCACCTTGTTGGGAAGAGTTGAGATAGGGTCCAGGGGCTTAAGTTTTAGGGTTTAGGGCTTAGTTGATGAAGGCCTTCGTGTAAGAAGCACGAAATATACATCAGGGTCAGGCCCTGGTGCGCGGCATAGGCTTTTCAGGGTCTGAAGGTGGGGCGCGGCCTAGGGCAAGGTGTGTGGCAGGCTGGGATGGGGGGTGGCTGGCGCGTGGAAAGTGGGGCAAGAAGCTTGGTTTTTGGGTTTTGGCCGTGGTTCACAAGGGTACATACCCACTGGAACACGCGGCAAATATCGTGGCAGATGTGGGTCTGCCGCACAAGTTCAGTACATTGCGGAGCAAAAGCAGGGGCGGAATCCTTGGTAAATGCTGTTCAAGTGCTGTTTGGTCATCTCCACCGAGGTCGTAACAGGGGTCATAACCTCGATGATCAATGTGTCAATGATTGTGAATGATTCAATGATGATGAGTCAAGACGAGAAATCATTGAGAATGATGATTCAGAGATTCAGAGTCACATGCAAAGACTCAATCAAGGATCGCGCCATCAACCACTGCACCCCCCCCCCCCCCCCACCCCCCTAACTCCCAAACCCCCCAACCCCCCCCAACCCCCCCCCCCCCCCCCAACCCCCCCAACCCCCCCAACCCCCCCCAACCCCCATACCCACCCCCCACCCCCCACAAACCCCCCCAACCCTCCCCCCCAACCCCCCCAACCCCAACCCCAACCCTCTCCCCAACCCTTCGGGAACCATTCGGGAACCAGTCGGGAACCATTTGGGAACCATTCGGGGAGACCATTCGGAAACCATTCGGAGGCCATTCGGGGACCATTCGGAAACAGTTAGGGAACCATTCGGAAACCCGTTTACTCTCAAAAAGGGGGGGTCTCGTGTAAGAATCGCGGTATGACCCTGGTTCCCGAATGGTTCCCGAATGGTTCCCGAATGGTTCCCGAATGGTTCCCGAATAGTTCCCGAATAGTTCTCGAGTGGTTGGAATGGCCCCGGACTGGTCCCGGGCTGGTCCCTGACTGGTCCCTCAATGGTTGGGGGAGTTGGCTGGGGGCGGCGGGGTGTGAGGGGGGGGAAGGGTGGTGCGGCGGGGGGAAAGGGGGGGGGGGGAGGAAGCCGCTCATCAATGACTCAACATACGCCAAGTTCTTCACTGCGGATACGTCTTGCTCCAGTCATTGTTGCAGAGGGGCCCAAACCCAGTTTGGAACGCATTTTTGCACCAGCCCAACGCCTTTTTGGCGGCCTCTCTGCCCCTAAAAGAACCCGGTCTCCGACACAACAGAAAAGAAGCCCGGCCCGCCCTCGGACCCAACTCCCGCCGCATGCCTGACCCAGCTCCCAGCCGCATGCCCGGCACCTGATACTGCTTATGCCTCTTACACGCACGCCTGTCTCAAGGGCTTAGGGTTTAGGGTTTAGGGTTCTTAAGTGTGGGTGGTTTTAGGGTGCAAGGCTTATTCAGAAGGGGGATGGAAATAACTGCATAGGATACCTAAGGAGGCCTTACGGGCCACTTCGCAGGGACCAGCTGGTAACATCCTAAACCCTACACCCTAAACCCTAAACCCGATATCCTAGATCCTCCTCATATTGGGAGTGAGCTGCCCTCTGAAATTCGAATGGCGTTGAAAGGCAATGGGGCTCCATACAACCGTTAACCATTTTTCGGGTCCAGGGATAGTCTTAGGGTTTAGGGTTTAGGGTTTAGAGTTTCGGGTTTAGGGTTTAGGGTTTAGAGTTTAGGGTTTAGGGTTTAGGGTTTAGGTCTAGGGTTCAGTTTCGGGGGGGGGGGGGGGGGGGTGCTCAGTGTAGTAGATGGCCGTAGCTTAGCGCTCTAGCACGTCTCCGCAATATTGAGCGCCGGGCTTGATCTTACGCGCTCAGGGCACATGTGGAGCCAGGAATTTGTGCTGTGAACCTTATTATCCTAAACCCCAAGCCCTAAGCCCTAAACTCCATAACTGTCTGTTTCTCAGCAGGGAGATCTGCCAACAAGTCCATTTTAACCAGGATCTTGGTGAGGTCATATTTCTTCAGAGGGCTTGCACGGCCAACCGAGAGGAAGGGCCCTGCAGAATCCCAAACAACCCTAAACCCTAAACCCTAAACCCTAAACTCTAAACCCTAAACCCTAAACCCTAAACCCTAAACCCTAAACCCTAATCCGAAAACAGCGGCGGTCATTGGAGATCAAAGACCCATACCCAAAGGGTCCTAAGTACCTATATTTTAGGGTTTAGGGTTTAGGGTTTAGGCTTTAGGGTTTAGGGGACACTTACCCAAACCATAATGGTAATTCCCATTATAGAAACCCTACTTTCGACTATGTAGGTACTTAGGACCCTTTGGGATACTGCGTAAGGTTTCTGTTGGGTTTTTGTTCAGCATAGAGGGGCTATGCCCTGATCCCTCAACCCAAGTCAACCCTCAATGAGCCCCAAAACCTGAGGCTAAAGCTTCAGCAGCTGCTGCGACTTGGGCGCAAGGTGTCCCCCTTACAGGGCTTTGTGACGGTTCAGGGTTTGGGTTTTCACCTCTACGTGCCCTCGCAACTCGTAATTCTCTGAGTCGTGTGTAGCGAGCATCAGCCAATGGGTTGTGGCTCTTCTTGCAGCTTCTGCGGCGACTTCTTCGCTTCTCCATGGGTGGGAACATCCAGAAGTCCAAAGCCTTTCGGTATCCAGGAGTGCAACGAATCCCCGGCTGCTGCAGCGATTGGTGAGGTGCGCGCTTCGCTGGGTTTAGGGTTTAGGGTTTGGGGAGTTTGGGGCTCAGGGGCACAGTGCCGGAGTCTGCAATGCGGTTCACCCCACAAAACCCCTCTTGGGACACACAATTGAGTTGTTGGCTGCTTTCTTGGGGCGTGAGAAGGGATCTCGCAGAAGACTTTCAACCTGAAAATCATGATGGCCCCGATGCCTTTTGCTGCCCTGCAGCCCCAAACCCGAAACCCCAAACCCCATGTGGTGTTGGGTTTGTTGGGCTCAGTGTCCCTAAACCCTAAACCCCAAACCCCAAACCCTAAACCCTAAACCCTAAACCCTAAACCTTAAAACCCTAAATCCTAAACCCCAAACCCTAAACCCTACACCCTAAACCGTAAACCCTAAACAAATCCACTCCCACAACCTCCCGGGCTGCTATGGCGCGTTGCGTGCCGGAGTCCCGCAACCTAAACCCTCCAAGCCGTTGAGTTCCGAACCTCCTTAGGCCCGAAGATTTTAGGGTTTAGGGTTTAGGGTTTATGGTTTAGGGTTTAGGGTTTAGGGTTTAGGGTTTAGGGTTTAGTGGGTTTAGGGTTTAGTGGGTTTAGGGGGTTTAGGGTTTAGGGTTTAGGGTTTAGGGTTTAGGGTTTAGGGTTTAGGGTAACCTCTCCTGCGAGGATTCCAGCAGTGGACGGCAAGAACCTTTCCTTGGACTCGCCGATTACCCGCCCTTTGCCCTCCGTGGTGTGCTTTTGGTTTATGCTTTATAGGGTTTAGGGTTCAGGATTTAGGGTTTAGGGTTTAGGGTTTAGGGTTATACGTGTGTATATGTATTAGTTTTATTCGTCTCATTGTTTTTGATGTACACATTCAACAACATAGATTGGCCCTTGCACTTCAACGGCGTAGGGCTTCTGCAGGGGGCCACCGAGATTCCTTGTTGCAGTCCCTTCTGTGGGCTACTGCGCCGTGGTAAGGCTGCCTTTGCAAGTCTCGTCAAGCAAGACTGAGGGCTGAAAGGGCTTCCATAGTATATCTAGGCGGCAACATCGTCGACCTCCCCTAAACCCCAAACCCTAAACCCTGAAGCCTAAACCCTAAAACCCTAGACCCTAACCCCAAAACCCTCCAACATGTAGACTTCTACATGCCAAACCTTCAAGAGGACACCCTGGTCCTCGAAGACTGTAAGGCTTCTAGTTGCCGCATGCCCTTCGCCTCTGTGTTTCGATACCGTCCTTTGGTTTTAGGCTTCTCTAGCAAATAAAACCCGCTGAACAAAAGAAAGAAGGGCTGGAGAGGGCTTGCGGTTTAGGGTTTAGGGCTACTTCGGGTTTAGGGGTTTAGGGTTTTTTGGGTTTAGGGTTTCGGGTTTAGGGTTTAGGGTTAGGTTGTTTAGGGTTTAGGGTTTAGGGTTTAGGGTTTAGGGTTTAGGGTTTAGGGTTTAGGGTTTAGGGTTTAGGGTTTAGGGTTAGGTTGTTTAGAGTTTAGGGAACTTGAGACGAGGACGCGTCATCGACGCCGATGCCTTGGCGCGCGCAAAGCGCGCGAGGCGGCTGGGCGCCTTGCTGGCCAGAAGACTTGGGTTTAGGGTTTAGGGTTTAGGGTTTAGGGTTTAGGGTTTAGGGTTTAGGGTTTAGGGTTTAGGGTTTAGGGTTTAGGGTTCAGGGCGCAGGGTTTAGGGTTTAGGGTTTAGGGTTTAGGGTTTAGGGTTCAGGGTTTAGGGTTTAGGGTTTAGGGTTTAGGGCTCTGGGACCCAGCTTTAAACACCCTGGGACATGCTTCCAAACTCTCTCGCAACCTGGAAGCCATCGACCCAATACCCCCAAAACTTCCAGGGTTTCGCGAGGTCGGTATGCTAGATCGTCCTGCATACCGGCCTCATAAGACTTCTTAAGCCCTCACCCCTGAACCCTAAAGTGCCACAATCCCAAACTCTAAATGAACCGAACCCCAAGCCCCAAACCCTAAACCCAAATTAAACCCTAAACCCTAAGCCCTAATCCCTAAACCCTAAACCCCAAACCCTAAACCCTAAACCCCCATGAACCCTAAAGGCCTGAACCTAAAGTCCCAACCTCTTCCAGGCTTGTACAGCATCGTGCACGACTGCGAGTCGCCCGGACAACTTCCTTTAGGGTTTAGGGTTGTTTGCGATCCATGAACTTCGGTAGCCCGGTACACACACAAGATGCTACGCTTTGGGGTCAAAACAATACCCTAAACTCTCCGCCCTAGGGTTTAGGGTTTAGGGTTTAGTGTTTAGGGTTTAGGGTTTAGGGTTTAGGACCCCAGGAATGAGTTGGTAAACTTCGACGACCACCTCACACCGGGTGCGGTGGCCTGCGCGCTATCTCACCATGCTGCGCTTCGGAGACTTCGCAGTGGATTTAAAGTTGAGGGGGATTCGGGTTTAGGGCTAGGGTTTAGGGTTTAGGGCCAGGTTTGCCTTCATCAGTTCTGTTCCCTTACGGTACGAAGTTGTAACAGAAGCCATTCCCTGAAACCTAAACTCCTCCACCCTAGGGTTTAGGGCCAACCCCTCAAGCCCCAAGCCTGCTTGCTTGAGGGTCGAAGGTCAGGGCTTCGGTTAGGGCTTTTAGTAATAAGTTTTCGGGTTTAGGGTTAGGGTTTAGGGCCGGATGAGGTGAAGGCATTAGGGCTGGTTCTGGGCCAGATTTCAGTGCTCAAGAGGTGTGGAGATCCCATTTTGAGAGAGTCCTCGTGTGGTGACGGCAGCTGCTGGGGAACCCCGTGCTTTGTCGCACCGCTGGTGGGGAGGTGCACCGCAAGAGACAAGCTACTGCGAAAGCGGCACTGCTGACAAGCGCTGACTGCTTTCGGACCATAGCCTTCTGAGGGTCCATGACCTTCTTATTCTATACTTGGGCCCCAGAGTCCGTGGATAGGAAGTACTTTAAGGCCCAAGTGTTCCCTATTTAGGTACATGGGTCCTTAGGGATAGCAGCACTATCTTTGGTCAACGAGCTCCAATGGGAGATGCAAAGCAGAGGTGGAAGCGGTGGATGCCGAGGCAAACTTTAGAGGATTCAGAGAAGGCATGGTGGCAGCACGAGCGGCCGCACATGGACAGGCCACGCGATTGTGAACCAGTTCGTATGTGCGAGAAGTAGAGAACTCTGCGATGAGTGTTCTTTATGATATGCTTATGTTTGTATGGCGAAAGTTGCCAACTTACAGCTCTGAACCCGACTGCCTCTACCCTCAGCCCTGAGCCCTTGGCCTTACCAACCTGAACCCTCGACCCTACTGAAAATCCAGAGCCTACTTGTCAGGCTTCTTCAGGGTCTTCATAGAAAGTCTCCGTCCCGCAACACATCGATAGTTCCATGAGCTTGCAACACCTTGCAAATAAGGGAATCTCACCTGAGTTCCAGGATGCCCAGTAGTGCCCTTATTCCCTTTTTGGGGGGTTTAGGTTCCCTTATAAAACCCCTTTAAGCAAAAAAGGGCACCCTTTTTAATCCTAGGTTACTGGGCAACCTAGAGTTTTATTTCCAGGGACCGAGGGAATTCCCGCCTACAACTCTTTGTAAGGCGGGACTGTATAGGGAACCCGAGAAGCCCTTAAGTCCCTACACCCTAAACCCCAAACCCGAAACCCTAAACCCTAAACCCTAAACCCTAAACCGTTTCAGGAAAGTGGCCAGCGACCCCGCCGCAGACTGGGGGCTGATTCTGGAGGATGACGTGTCGCTGGTGGTACCAGATGTTGACAGGCAGGTCTGGGGTTCAGGGTTTAGGGTTCAGGGTTTCGGGTTTGGGGTTTAGGGTTTATTCCAAATCGAGCAGAGCCCACGCAGGTCCATTGCTACCATACTGGAGCAGCTACCTGATCACTGGAGCGCAGTGCCCCTGGCTCGCCTGGGAGTGCGGTGCGTTACCCTTAGGCTGAAAATATCCCAAAGGCCTCATATGCTAGCTAGGCCTTTGGGACATGTTTTCCTTTCCCTTATTGGCTTTAAGAGGATGATATTCAGGAATACTTTTCAAACAGTTTTCAGGGCCATCCTAGTATGGTATGGAGTTTGGGCCTAAGCACCTCCCTAAACACTTAACCATAAACCGTTTTGGGGCCTAAACCTGTTTCCAGAGTTAAGCTTTTGGGGTTGCAAACGACAAAAGCACAACCTAACCCTAAACCCTAAACCCTAAACCCTAAACCCTAAACCCTCAGCCCTAAGCCCTAAGCCCTAAGCCCTAAGCCCTAAACCCTAAACCCTAAACCCTAAACCCTAAACCCTAAACCCTAAACCCTAAACCCTAAACCCTAAACCCTAAACCCTAACTCAACCCTAAACCCTAAACTGTAACACAAGCCCCGAAGCCTAGAAGTGATTTTGGATGCTTGAGGGCTATGACCCGGAAAACTCGGCATTTTCTTGTTTTCTGGGGGGGGGGGTGGGGGGCTGTCAGGGGGTTGCGAGGTTCAGAGGGGTTTAGGGTTTAGGGTTTTGGGTTTACGGCTTAGCAAGTTCGTTTTCAATGGCCGTTGTTTTCAGTGTAGGGTGCCGTTGTTTTCATTGTAGGGTCCTTACGGGAAAGGGGTTCATGGGGGTACCTTGGGAACCTCAGAAAAGCTTAGAGCCTTAGGGAGTAGTGGGAGTAAGTTAGGGAACCTTGGGTTACATACCCCTGTTGAACCCAACGATTCCTGACTGATGTGTATCCTGCATGACAGAAAACCTGCTCAACCCTTCACCTTCACCTAAAGACCTAAATTTAAGAGCCTCCGGCCCAAGCCGCCGACCCCGCTGGAGCATAGTTGAGAGGTCTAAACCCGCTCGCATGGTTCGAAGATCATCCCAGCCTGCTCGGCAGAGTTCTGTGAAACGTTTGGCGGGGGGAAGGGGGCAGCACCAGGACAAGCTCAAGCCAAAAAAGATTGGGGGGGGTGGGGGGGGCAGGGGGGGGGGGGGGGGTTGGGGGGGGGGGTGGGGGGGGGTGGGGTGGGGGGGGGTGGGGGGGGGGGGGGTGGGGGTGGGGTGTGGGGGGGGGGGGGTGGTGGGGGGGGGGTGGGGGTGGGGGGGGGGGGGGGGGTGGGGGGGGTGGGGGTGTGCCGAAAACGCTGATTTTGCTGAGGGCGCCCCTATCCCCCTGTGCTGAACCGCCTGTTTACGCTGTGCGGGTAACGCGGTCCTCCACGAAAGACCCCCCCCCACCCCCCCCCCCCCCCCCCCCCGCGTTTTGGGGGGGTAAGGAGGGAAAGAGGGAGGTTTTCACCTCTTTTTCACATCCAACACGCCGCCAGGGTCGGCGGACCCTATAAACCATAAACCCCAAAGCCCTACACCCTAAACCCTAAACCCTAGATCCTCGATCTGTTTTCAGCGATCCCAGGTTTCTTGGATACCACAACAAGTACGGCTGCCCGCATCGGCGCGCTGTGAACTCATCCTACACGCGCTCGGAGGAGGAAGAGGCATGGCTTTAGGGTTTAGGGTTTAGGGTTCAGGGTTTAGGGTTTAGGGTTCAGGGCTTTAAGTATACCTTGTGGCTAAGTTACCCTGAGTATATCCAGAACCCCAGAACCCCCTCCCCCCCCAAAACCCTGAACCCTGTGTACCCTAAACTTGGGATGTTCCCCCATTTACTAACAGTCCTTAATAGGGATTGTAGTACGATCATCCCTATGAACATCCCAACCCTAAATCCTAGATCTTAAATCCTAAAACCCTAACAGCCTAAACTCGAAGACTCCACTCTCTAGTAGGTGGACCTTCTGGGAAATCACGGCGCCACCCATCAAAAAGCGTCAGGGCGCAGGGTCCCTCTTGGGTTCGCGCTAAAGTACTGATAGCAAGGACATCCTACCCAAACACTGGAACCTACCCTAAACCTTAAACCCTAAACCCCAAACCCTAAACCCTAAACCCTAAACCCCAAACCTTCCAACAGCCTCAAGCCACCAGGCGGAACCAGAGCCTGTCTTTGAGATCCACGATCACAACTGGGGACTCTATGCCTGGATGGTGAAGAAGGATGCCGCAGGGTTTAGGGTTCAGGGTTTCGGGCAGAAGGTTTTGGGTTTTAGGTTCGGGTTATCTAACACCCTTGAAACTGTAGGGTTTAGGATTTCGGGTTCCCTAAAGCCCCTCGAAAAATAGGTTTTTATGGTTGTAAACCCTTCCAACCTTTAGGGTTCAGGGTTCAGATTGCCCTAAGGCCTAAACTGCAATCTTTGAATCCTAAACCCCAAAGCCCGAAAGACCCTAGACCCTTAGACCCTAAACCCCCCTTCAACAGAAAAGGGAACCCTTTTGTGTTTCTAGGCTGCTGGGAGGGGGCCGTTGGCTTCGTGGCTTTGGGTTTGGGACTTAGGTTTTAGGATTCAGGTTTGCCACATGTTCTTCCTGGCTCCGGATTCTGCATGGGATGCATATAAAAGGAGATGTAAGAGTCCCCTAACCCCTGCATTTCAGCCCTCAACCCTAAACCCTAAACCCTAAACCCTAAACCCTAAACCCTAAACCCTAAACCCTAAACCCTAAACCCTAAACCCTAAACCCTAAACCCTAAACCCTAAACCCTAAACCTTCGGTCCTGGAGGAAGCAGCACAAACTCTGGTTGACGAGCTTTTCCCGCTCCTCGGCTTGCTAATATCCTGGCCTCTTTGGAGCCTAAGCCCTGCGGGTTTAGGGTTTAGGGTTTAGGGTCTAGGGTCTAGGGTTTAGGGTTTAGGGTTTAGCGTGGAACCCTTAGGCCTAAACCCCTAAACCACTGAGCTCCTGAACCTCCCCCAAAACAAAGATTACCCTGAAAATGTTCAACGCCTGAAGCCTTGAACCATGAACGCCCCAAAACCCTGAATAGCCCCAAAAGAGGGAAACCCTAAACCCTAAACCCTAAACCCTAAACCCCAAACCCTAAACCCTAAACCCTAAACCCTAAACCCTAAACCCTAAACCCTAAACCCTAAACCCTAAACCCTAAACCCTAACTCAACCCTAAACCCTAAACCCTAAACCCTAAACCCTAAACCCTAAACCCTAAACATACCTAAACACACCCACCCGAAGCCCTGAATCCTAAAGCCTGAACGCTAAACCCTAAAACCCGGAACGCCCTCAAGAACCCTGACCCTCAACCCTAATAACCTAGATCCCTAGAAACCCGAGACCCTGAATGCCCTAACTACCATTTGCTTAAGAACCCCCACACACCCACCCCCCCCCCCCCCCCCCCCAAAAAAAAGGACAGATAATAGTCCCTATATTGCCCTTATATTTTTTTGTTTTCGTTTTTTTTCGCTGGTGCTTAAGCAAATAGTTCCATTTACCTGCATAGAAAAAAGGGCCAGATAGTAGCTCTAGGGCCAGAGCATACTGTATTATGTGGCTGCAGAGGTGACTTGCATGGCGTCGCGTCGCACGTGTTTGCTTTTGCCTGTGTGACGGCCATCAAGGATCAGCAGCCAAGTTGACTACGCTATCTCGAAGTTCCTCATTACCAGGTGGGCTGTCCCCCCCAAAAAAAGTAAATATAACTATATACATATATAAATATATGCTTCATTTATTCATTTCTAGATTCATTTCTTATTTTTCGTATATTTATGAATCTGTTTGTTCGGTAGTTCTATTCATATTTCTAGGGGCCTACTTCAATAATCATTATCGTTAGGTACATAGGGGTGGGGGTTATCAGATCAAGAATTCTGGTACTACTCCAGGCTCCTGTAGCAAATGATGATGCTTTTTTGTGGCCACCGAGATAGGTCTCCCCAGGGGCACGTGGTGCTGCTCTTAGGGCTTGGGGCATATAGGGCTTAGGGTTTAGCGTTTAGGGTTTAGGGTGTAGGGTTTAGGGTTTAGGGTTTAGGGTTTAGGGTTTACTGTGCTGGGGTTCCATGGTCACTGTTTTTTTTCTAAACCCCGTGTTATAGTCTTCGGTTGCCCCACGCATGGACCCTGGGCCATCCTTGCGCTCGGGCAATGGAAGATGAGAGCTGCTTCAGTAGTGCCTCTAACGGCTTAGGGCTTCAGAATGAAGGTTCCTGGGTGAGCAAGACAGCCAAGAGTCCCTTTATCTCGTCTTCGGTTGAGGTATGAGGGTCTCTTAGTCTTGTTGCTTGCAGCGATGTTTATGACGACGTGGCGGATGTCCTTTGCGCGTGCTGATTTGTTGTATGATGTGTTATTGTGACGCGGATAGATTGCGGCATATCAACCTTTAATGATGTGTTTCTATGTAGGGAACTGTAGGGATGAGGTGGGTGTTTTCAGGTTTCGCGTTGGGTTTCGATGCGGCTGATGTGGGGACCTCACCTTCAGGAGTAGTAGGAGTTTGGGGCTCAGGTTTAGGGTTTAGGGTTTAGGGTTTAAGGTCTCAGACGCTTGCACGCTGAGGCGCGGAGGTGTTTTCTCGGTCCACCCCGACAGGCTCCTGTTCTTCAGCCCGACCAGCACCTTGCTTCAAAGTCCCTAAACCCTAAGCCCTCAGCCCTAAACCCTAAACCGACATCCTGATTGAAGGGTGGTCCACGAAGGGTAGTATTGCTGAATGCACACCCTGGGGCCGCCTAAGGTGCGAAGGTTACGTAGGGTTTAGGGTTTAGGGTTTAGGGTTTTGGTTGGGGTTTCCTTTGCCCGGGTTGGGGAGGTGGAGTGTCGGGATAGAGCGCGAAGCCCTAAACCATAAACCCTAAACCCTGAACCCTAAACACTAAACCCTAAACCCTACCTCTAGTTTGCCCCAGGTCAAGAAGGACAAGACTCGGATATACAGACTATGCGAAGCGAGGAGAGCAGGTAGAGGGTTGAGGGTTTAGGGGTCTAGGGTTCAGGGTTTAGGGTTTAGGGCTTAGTGGGTTTAGGGTAAACGGTTTAGGGTTTAGGGTTTAGGGTTTCGGGTTTAGGGTTTAGGGTTTAGGGTTTAGGGTTTAGGGTTTAGGGTTTAGGGCTGCTCTCTCTCTCTCTCTGTCTCTCTCTCTCTCTCTGTCGCTCTCTCTCTCTCTCTCTCTCTCTCTCTCGCTCTCGCCCCGAGCCGGAAGCGTCCAAAGCGCTGGCGGTCCAAAGTGAAATGAATTCAGAAGTCACATGACATCGTCGGGTTTAGGGCTTACGGCTTAGGTTTTTTGGCTTGGGGCTTAGGGTTAAGGGTTTCACACGGTGCCCTTATGGCGGAACTTTCTAGACTTCTAGGTGTATGACCTTAGGGGTACAACCCTGTAACCCTTGACCCCCCGCCCCCCCCCCCCCCCCCCACCCCAAACCTAACAAACCCTAAACCCTAAACCCTAAACCCTGAACCCTAAACCCTAAACCCTAAACCCTGCAAACCCTAAACCCTAAACCCTAAACCCTAAACCCTAAACCCTAAACCCTAAACCCTAAACCCTAAACCCTAAACCCTAAACCTTGCTGGTTCAAGAGCTTGGGCCGGCTCGAAGCTTAAACCTGACAACATGCAAGCTGCAGGTCACCATGTGCAGACTCTGCGCGCGACGCCTCGCACCCGAAAACCTGAACCCAAAACTCTCCTAAGGGTTTAGGGTTTAGGGTTTAGGGTTTAGGGTTTAGGGTTTAGGGTTCAGGGTTTAGAGTTTAGGGTTTCCCTAAGCCCTGAACCCTAAACCTCTTTGAAGCACAACTTTGGAGAGGAGGACGTGGTGCAGGAGTTTGGATCCTGGCAAGAGTATCTCGAAGTGCAGAGGCTCAAGTAGGGAATGTTTTTTTTGACTCCCCGGTTGGGGGTTTAGGACTTATGGCGTAGGGTGTAGGGATTAGGGTTTAGGGTTTAGGGTTTAGGGTGCAGCAACTCATTAAAGGAAGGGTCCGCTAGATACTGGTTCCAGCTATGATTGAGGGCATTTTCATTAAGCTGCAGGGCTCTGTCTACCTACGTTTTTTGACGAAACATACCTAAACCTTTCGAGGCAACTTATAACTATCATTTTATTATTATATTTGTTTGTTTATTATCTTCTTTTTTTGTGGGGAGGGGGGGGCTCCCGGGTCAAGGGTTTAGGGTTCGGGGTTCATGGTTTACGTTTCATTTCCAACCCTGAACCGTAAACCGTAAGCCGCAAACCCTAAGGTAAACCCTAAGCCCCAAACCCTAAACCGTAGTTGTTTCCCCCTGTTTCAGGCTTGTCATGCTGCTCCCTAAAGGCTTCGCGAAAAGCTCCAGCACCGAGATCCTCAAGTCACAGACCGATTCTGAATCCGAAGCCCAGTGTATTTTCTACCCAGAGAAACATCTAAATAGGTGTGCTATATACATATATATATATATGTGTGTATATGTAGCGGTTTAGGGTTTAGGGGTTAGGGTTTAGTTAGGCGTTAGGGTTTAGGGTTTAGGGTTTAAGGACCCTCAACACACGGACCTGGAACCCTGATCAAGCTCTTAAACAGACAGCTGGATCCCCACTCCCCCAAAACTATTTCCTAAACCCTAAACTGAAAGTTGAGCCCTCCCCCCCCCCCCCCCCCCCCCCCCCCAAAAAAAAAAAAAAAATAATAATAATAATAAATAAAATAACAAAACCCCAAACCCAAAACCCCAAACCCAAAACCCAAAACCAAAAACCCAAAACCCAAAACCCAAAACCCAAGACCCGAACCCAAACCCAAACCTAAGCATCTCGATTCCTAGCCCACTTAGAGTGCCGCCCGTTGCCAACCGGGAAGGCCCAGCTCGTATGGCGAGTATGAGGCCGAGGCCCTTTCTGCAGTGCGGAGTGCCAATTTAGGGTTTAGGGACTAGGGTTTAGGGTTTAGGGTTTCGGTTTAGGGTCTAGGGCCTGTGGCTTGGGATCGTCGGGAGGAGAGTACCCCCGATCATGATCCTTATTAAGGACTATTTCAACCTACGGCTGTTTTGCTAGGCTTGCATATCAGGTCTATAGGGTTTAGGGTTTAGGGTTTAGGGTAAACTCAGCTCCTGCCTGAGCCCGAGAGTGCCTAGATTACAGTAGTGTTTTCAGTCTGTCACACGCACACACACACACACACACTGAGCGCACAAGCTCCCAAACACCCTACAAAAAGCAAAAACACCTAATTCAACATCCACCGACTCGGTCATTCACTCGTCAGCCAAATGCAATCTCCAAGAACCCTAAACCCTAAACCCTATACCCTGAACCCGAAACCCTAGTAAGAAGCCGCGAGCCCTGAACACCCACTGCTCGACCAAATCTTTTCGCCTTTCGTAGACCTTCAAGCCACCTTAAAAAGCCGGCTAAACCCTCACCCGAAAACCCTAAACCCTACATCCCTACAACCTACACCCTAAACCCTAAACCCCAAACCCCAAACCTTCAGAAGCCCCCAAAATCGCGAAGATCCCCACACCTGAGCCTGAAGGACTTCGACGAAGCTTTTGGGGACCTGCTCTACCATGGCGCGGACGAGGATGAGGCCTGGTGGGGTTTAGGGTTTAGGGTTTAGGGTTTAGGGCTCAAAGTGAGTGAGGGGAAGGCCCGCCATGAAAGCATTCTAGGGTCCGAAATGTGCATTCCGAGGACCGGGCAAATCTAAGCTCTCTAAAGGACTTGGTAGCCAAGTAGCCTTTCAAATTTCAAGATTACTTGCGGGCTAGGGTTTAGGGTTCAGGGTTTAGGGTCTAGGGTTCAGGGTTTTGGGCTAGGACACAGAGTTGGCCTTTGTTCCTGCTTATTGGGAGTTAGGTTCCCTTGGAAGCCCCTTTAATCAAAAAAGGGTACCTTGTTTTTTGTTTAATCCTGGGTTCCTGTGGCAACCTCGATGATGTTTTTTTCTTGGGGGCTCTTGTTGTAAGTCGGAGCCAGATGTTTTCAAAGTGTGCCCAACAGGGCAATAGAGCCTTCAGTTTTTGCAGACCTACCCACCTGCTAAGCTTGCATGATAGCCTTAGGAAGTCCTATGCTTTCTCTCAACTCTCTCCTCCGACCCATGCTGAGGACACCGCCATGTCTGACCTGAACTTTGGTGCATGGGAGGAGATGGCGGATGGCGAAAATTCTGCGCCCAGGGTTACCCTACTTCCGAGTCCCATAAAGCATCTAAGCCACACAGGCGCCTAGCCTCTGAACCCTACATCGCCTAGACCCTCAACCCTATCAGCCTAGATCCCAAGGCCAATGAGCGCTGTCCTTCTGTAGTCGCCCGGGAGTATCAAGCCAGTACTGCAAGCACTATGAACCGTTTTGTTGCCCGACACCCTCAACCAGCAAAACCATAAACTCGAAGCCCGAAACCCTAAACCCCAAACCCAAAACCCTAAACCCTAAACCCCAAAACTGCTGGACACCTCTCTCAGATGCCACTGCCCAGGCCGGACACGACGCCTCGAATCGAGATCGACGTCCAGGAGCTGCCCGAGGGTTTAGGGTTTAGGGTTTAGGGTTTAGGGTTTAGGGTTTAGGGCTGAGGGCTTAGGGCTTAGGGTTAAGGTTTTAGGGTTTAGGGTTTAGGGTGTAGGGCGTCTCGCCGCGCAGCGGCAGTAAGTGCCATGCGTACATGGCGCCCCTACACACCCAGAAGGTGTGGGGGGGCGGCATGTCACGCGAGGCATCTCTTGTCAATGTAATCCAACAATTTCATTGGTGCTGGGTTCTTCTCCCCACCCGCTGTGAGCTTTCACAGGCCACCACCCAAACCACTGCCTTTTAGAGTTTAGGGCTGTCGCCCTCAATTCCCACCATTGCTTTCCCTACAAACACGTGATGAAGGCAGTGGGGGGGGGAGGGGAGGTGGTGGGGGGGGGGGGGGGGGGGTGGGGAGGGGGTGGGGGGGGGGGGGGGCGGAAGGGGGGGGGGCGGAAGGGGGGGGGGCGGAAGGGGGGGGGGCGGAAGGGGGGGGGGGGGTGTGTGTCAGGGGTGGATAGGGGGTCTCGGCTCTATGGGGGCCATGTAGGCCTTATGGAGGTATTATCGGGTTTTCAGAATTTCTGGGGTCTCTACAGGAGCCCTGCAGGCCGATTTAGGGTTAAGGTTCGGTTGTGGGGAGAAAGGGGTTTCCAGAGAGGATACGAAGTAGACTATCTGAGTTTGAAGAGCTTCCAAGTCGAACGGGGATTATAGGCTGAATGGAATAGGGTGCTCTGTTTTTTACATAG